GGGCCAGGAGGAGGCCTGGGCCTCAACCAGGCCTTCTGGTGGAGAGGTTGACACCAGTGAGGATAGCCCTGGAGATCTTGTCCTTCCCTTGTCCTTCCCTTGTCCCAGAGAAGAGCCAAGGAAAATGAAAACACAATGGCTGAGTCAGGGATTGGAGAGGGACTTTCAGTCCCTGCCCCACACCAAGGCCCTTCTCTGTCCCTTATAGGCCCTGGTTATAGAGCTGGTGTAAGAACAATCCAGGGAGGTGCCTCTCAGGAGTACAGAGCTGGGTCAGGAGACCTTGTAAATGTTATCTCTAAGCCATGTGACTGGTCCTTGATGTTCCGCTGCTCCTTTCGAATCATCTGCCTTGCCTGAGAACTACCTACCATCTCCAGACAGGTACAGGAGCTTCTAGCATAGATAGTACCTTGGACAGCGCCCAGGACAGCACCCATCCAGCCAAAGCCTCTTGTCCTACCAGGAAAGGAGTCAGGGTCAGTCAGTATCCTCAGGAGTGGCTGAGAAGCTGCCCCTTCCCCAACTTTCACTGGCTTGGTCCCTTCTCCTGGAACCGTGGGGCCTCTGACATTTAGATTCGAGGATTAGCCACCAGTCCACTTTAAAATCTCTTCTTCCAAGTCTGGTGGAAGCCAGTGTTCTCAGGGAGGCCTAGCCCCTCAATATGGAAGAGATGGTTTCTCAGCAAGCCAAGCTCTTTGGTACCGACATTGTCATAAGCATGTGCTCCTGTTAAGATCTCCTTTCACAGATGTCCCTTTTCCTCATCTTCCCTGGTGCAGGCTCCATCTTTGTGCCTCCTAAATTCACTAGAAAATCCAGGAGGCAGACTTCACTGTCTTCACTCCTCAGAGGAGCACACTGTGGGTCAGTACAGCTGGTGATAAGGTGGAAACATTCCCAGCCTGCCTGACATTATAGCAGGGGACAGTCAGCAGGATGCTGACCTACCTGGGGGAACAGACATATCCCTCCAAGAGGCTGAGGAGAATCCTGGAGACCAATGTCCAATTCCTGTAGCTTGGACCTTTGAGTAGTAATGGGTGTTGAGAAGAGTAAAAACAGAGTCCCAGAGACAAAATAGGCAGGGATGAGCAGGGTAGACAAAGGGATCAGGGAACACATGGAGGGGTTGAGAGGGGGCTGGAGGGAGGTTTAAGAGTCTGGAAAGAGTCTGGAAAGAGTCCTTGCAGGCCAGGTTTACTTGAGTCTCCTGGAATAAGGAGGAGGATGTCCTTTCACCCACAAGCTGTGTGCAGAAAACCGACCTCTATAAGACAAGACTTCCAGGAGAAGCCCAAGATACTGTGAGACCCCATAGTGGCAGGAAGGGGCTACATCAACTCCGATGTAATACTTCCTGTTCCAGCCTCATGAGACTCACAGTTCTCAGAGAAAGCCTCCCATCTGTGAATGTCTGGAACCCGTAGGCATTTGCCCATGGGGAGGGCTGGGGTTTGACAGGAGGCTGCTGCCCTCCTCACCACAGATCTAAGCAGACTCTAGCAGGGAACTCAGGGACAATGTGCACTAAATGTGTGGCAGAGGTCAGGCATACTCATGGCACAGGGCACCTCTTTCCCCTGCTCTAAGTTCCGCACCCTGCAGTAACCTCTATACTCCCTCTTCTGAGCCGGTGGCATGCGCTCCTAGAGAAGGGTGACCGGTGCCTGCCGCCTGCAGAAGGCAAAGTCCTACCGTACCTTCAGAGCCTCCAGGATCCCCTGACTGCAGTACCCAGCACTAAGGCTGCCCTGGTACAAGGTGAGTCTCCAGGGCTCAAAAGCAGTGGTCTGAAGGCAGAGATGGGGCTAAGAGTTCCCATATTCCAAGCTGAACAGTGCAAAACCCTTTCGTAAATATGCCTGCTCACCATGTGGGGTCACATTATGTTCCCGTGGTTAGAGAGAGCTGATTCCAGGCACAGAAAGGACAGGTGGATTGGCTCCTTTCTAGGTCTCAGAGGACCTAAGCAGATATTCAAAAAGAGCAAAGGGAAGAAGGACCCCTGGGCTTCCAGCAAGAGAGGCTCCCAGGTAAGGACCTGGCCAGGCCTCATCCACTCTCTTGCAGTATCTCTCTCTCAGGTATTGCAGAGCTCACCCCTCTCTGGGTTATTCCCTGTAAGCTCTCTCCTACCCTTCCTAAGTGTTATAAGACACACTAAATTATATTTCTCAGTCTATAGAGATCTGCCCAGCTCACCTGCCTCCCTGTATCAGAATGGGTCCCATAAAGCTCCAGGGTTGCCAGACAATGGTGACACACGTCTTTTAATCACAGCACTCAGGAGGCAGAGGCAGGTGAATCTCTGTGAGTTTGAGGCCAGCCTGGTCTACAGAACGAGTTCCAGGACAGGACCCAAAGCCACAGAGAAACACTATCTCGAACCATCCCTCCAAAAGCTCCAGGGTCAGGGTCTGCTTTCAGTATACCCTATGAATTGAGCGGCTGCACAACTTTCAAACATCCACCTGCTTATTCTTCTCAGGACAATCCCTCCACCTCCCAGAGGTCTCTCATCAGGAACGGCATCCTCTGTGTGCCCTTCCCGGTCTGGCCTGAGGAGCCTCCAATAACAAGGTCAGTACCCTGGGGAACTCCAGGCTCAGTCCCTCAGTCCCCACTTCTCTACACCTATTTCAGAAGGACCAAGGTCAACTCCAGTAGAGACTTCCAGGGAAAAAAAAAAAAAGGTAGATTTTCGAAAGCCACCAATCAGAATACGAGGCACTACAGCTGATGGAAGCCTTTGTGTAGAGGTGGAGAGGCCCTCCAGGGACACAGACGCCCCTTGCAAGCTGCTCCCAAACCAGTGGGTCCCTGGCCCATAGACACCCGCCTCCTGCTCTGCTGACCTCACATCTCTTCCACCCACTTTTTATTTAAGTACCTGTGTTTAAAGAGAGTTTATTTCTGCAGTTAGTGAACTACCACTACCACTTTGCCCTAAACGAACAATACCTTAAAATGAACACAATTATGAACAAAAAGGCCAATTTGTTCTATCTCTACCCCCATTCCAGCCTGATCATGGGATGTCAAAGCGTGTCTGTGAGTGTCAGACATGAGGAAAGCCTTTCTCTGCATGTACATGCCCAGGGTATAGTCTTTATGCAACCCTGCCTAGACTAGGCAAGACTGTCCTTTCCAGACTCCCTCCATAAGAGGACTGATCCCAGACTAGTTCCACCACCCTCTTTGCGTACCTCCGTACTACCGGCCAGGGCCCTTGAACCCCCTCCTCATAATTGGAGTAAGCAGGGCCGAGGCATTTGTTTACTTCACAGCCAATCCTGCTACCCAGGATTTTCCTTTCCATTCCTTTCTCTGGCATTCCAAAGGCCTAACCCAGAGTAACACAGGGAGCTGTGGCAACCCAGCACAGGCAACCTGAGGTAGGTGATTCACAGGGTTGGCATACCCAAAGAGAGGGACGGAAGGACTACTGCCCTCCTGGCGGACAGCTATCTCTGGACCTTCCCGGAGACCTCTGCAGAGAGGACAGCAGCACAGCACGGCTAGCTGAGCCTGTGCAGGTACATAGTGACCCATGGGGACAGGCCTCTTTTGGGAGAGGAGCAGGCTGTCAGGGAGGAAGAACACGGCTGGATGTGCCACAGAAGCATGAGCTGGAGCAAGCCCTTTCATGGCACCCCTTGACAAGACAACCCTGTAGCCCAAGCAAGGGCTTCTTACTGTTATCTCCCTCACTACCCCCGAGCCAGACAGTGCTCAGAAACCTCAATCTGGGACTCCAGGAGGTCAAGCCAGATCAGTATAGCAGGTATCATGTGATGGGACTCCTTCTGGTGGGGATCTGGGCTCTGGGGCCTCAGAGAACCTAAGGGGAAGGGGAGGAGAACCAAGGGCCCAGCACCATGCAGAACAGGAGCTCTACCACTTGGGAGGGTGTTTTTCTGGGGGAGGCTGCACAGGGGAAGCACCTGAAAGTCAGATACTCCCTGCTCTCTATCCACAGGTCAGGCTATAAACTGTGTGGGCAGCAGGGACAGTGTGGAGCACTCTGCCTTGTGCATATTCAGCAAGGGGGAAGGGGATAAAGGACCCTGGGTCTAGGATGTCTTCATTCCATCTTTTCTCTGCCTGATTTTAAGATGAGCAATCAGATGGGGGTAGGGTCCGTCCCATTGGAGAAGACTCCTTGGGCCCCAGGAATCCTTGCTTTTGCTCTTCAGGGACCTGATCTGGCTGTTCTGAGGTCTAAGTTCTACAAGAAGGAGCCTTTAATGGCGTAACCCTGCCAGGAATTTTCCATGCCTGAAGTGGGCCTATGAAACCCATGTAGCTTATGAGAACTCTGTAGACCTTGGAGGAGCTCCAAGGAGACCAGAAATCTTCCTCCCCAAGTTCCTGCTCTGATACTTAACCCACTCTTCTGGTTAGTAATGGAGAAGTGCTGGATCCTAGCTTGCAGGCGATTTTCTCAACATCAAGGCTCCCAGGTGGAAGTAAGATGGCTCACTAGACAAGGACTTGCTGCCAAGCCTGAGTCCATGCTACATAATAGAAGAGAATGGACTCCCACAAGTTCCATGTGATCTCTACACCCCCAATACATGCACACAATAAACAAACAAACAAATAAATGCAATTTTTACTAAACAATCAATAGACCCTGAGAGTAGAGCCAGCCTCACACAGCATTCTGCCTGGGGTCTCAGACTTGTCCTAGAGATAAAAATAAATTTCTTCATAAGAGCCAAGACCCAGAAAGGGACAGAGTTGAAGGGGGCAGATTTTGCCATCTCTGCCTTGATGGGTGGCTAGGGAGTCACCTGGAAACATAGGATTCACAGGAACATCAGAGCATAGCCAAGGATGTTCCACTAACCAAAAGGCTGGACCCTGAGGAACAAAAGGCCTGTTCCCGCCACTGCCACAGGCCAGAAGATCAGCCTGGATCCCTCATTCTTTGTCTTGCCCTGGTCAGCCCTGTTCGTACTCCGCTCCCCTCCATCCCAGCCTGCTGTTACCTGTCTTTTCCAAGTCTAAGTGGTACTGAAGGCCTTGGTGGAGTTTCTGAGGGACCCTGGACCAAGCTGAGGGTCACTTCCAGGGGTTTCATTTGAGCTCTGTCCACGGTGTCTCTAAGGCCAAGGAGGAGGAGGAAGCCAGGCAGAGGAGGGAGAAAAAGGGGCTTTGGCCTCATTTCCATGTGGAGGGCCCAGCCCCATTGTGCACCAGGCCTCACTCACAATTGAAGTCTTTGTGGTGGCTGGCTCCGCCCTCAGTACTCAGTCATGGTGGGGGTCCCGCCCCCCACCTTTACAAAGGGCTAGGAGAAGCAAGGCCAGAAGATCTTTCCTTTCCCCCATTGGCCCCACCCAGGCCATAGCCTAGGGGAAGCCAGGGTTAGGAATCTCCAGGTGGTAAGCAGAACCTCTGAGTGTCTATGGGGACCACTCACATTTATCCACAGGATAAAGCAGGCACCTGGGGGTAGGGGGTGCCTTCAGGCCCTCTCCCCTTGGGCATCAAGTATACTCCTGCCTTGAGAGCTTCAGTCTCAACCCCAGCTGCATCAGGAGACCAGCTACCCTCAGAGAGAGAAGGTTAAGGCCCCCCTGTACTGGATATGAAGGGGCTGAGGTCTGTGACAAACCTGGTGAAGGCTTTCAAGCTACCTTGATCATCAAGCTAGATGTGAGAAACTCTGAACCACTTAAAGACTGCAAAGGGGGCCTGGAAAGCTGATCCCTTCTTTCCTTTGCTGGCCACATCTGTACTGAGGGCCCTGCATCTGTCCTACCACTCCCTCCCCAGGCCATGCCTGCCAAGCGGGCTATGGGTGCTGTGGCAACCTGAAGGCCTTCTTCCCCCATTTCCCCTCCCCCTCGAAGCCAGGGTGGGATCAAGGGTCAAGAGACTGTGAGCCAGCTGTTCCCAGATGTGGATCAAGGCCCCTCCCTTTTTCTGGAGGAATGACAAGCCTTCTGCGGAGGAGGGGGGCGGTGATGTGACGAAGAAGAAAGGGCAGAAAGGGAGGGGGTTCTCCCCGGGTTTCTGTTGATCTGTTTAATCCCACGCTATTGCAGGCTTTCGCAGATGGAGGGCAGAGGGAAAAGGAGGGGGGTCTAGCCCTCATCCTTCCCTTCCTTCTACCGCCCCTACCCCGCCTTAGCCACCTGACCCGTCTCAAAGTTGCCGGGCTGCGGTGCGCATGGCCTTTGTGCGCGCGGAGCAGCGGCCTGGAACCTGGAGCCTGAGCCAACTGGACTATGTCGCCCCACCTTCGTGCCCCATCCTCTTCCCCACGTACCCAGGAGCTAGCAAATAAATAAATCCACAAACACAAATTCACAGTGTGCTGGAGAGAGGCGGCTGCGCCGGAAAGAAAGAACGTGGAGAGGTGAGGCTGGGCCACACGGAGTCCAGGGGAGAACAGACCTGAGCCAAGGCCCAGCATCAGTAAGTTGACTCTTACGGAACCTCTGAAGGTTCCAGGGTCACCAAAAATGTCCCTACCGGGAGGACTCAAAAGAACAGGCAGCGGAATGCTTGGGGTGGGCTCTCTTCTCTCAGCGCACAGGCAGCTCCACCCCCACGCCCAGGACAGCCCTTCCCCCAGCCCACCAGACCAGGCGGCAGGACGCAGGAAATTGGAAAAAGGGAACCAGGGATCCTAACCCGTGCTCCGGACTGAACGCGTGCATGCAAGCAAATGCGCAGGCCTGATTCGGCGGAGATGCGAAAAAATAAACTTGATCTGACCCTGGAAGGGGTGAAGCCCCAGACTCTCCAAGCACCACGCTCTGGTCTGGTGTAAATATCTCCCACACACAGTAAGGGAAGGCCAAAGGGAGGTCTTTGGCCCGGGAAGGGAACTGGTCTTTTAGGAGTCACGGTGCCGAGTCGGCCCGGTAGCCAGCGCGCTCTTAGACCTGAGGCTCTTGGGAGTGCCACCTCCATTCCCCGCGCGCCCTCCAAATAGAAACAAGCTCTGGGCAGGTTATAAGCAGAGATGTCTTGGACCATTGAGGGAGAAAAAAAAAAAAAAAAAAAAAAGGCGGGGCTGAGGAAAGGTAAAGGGTCTGCTGTCCTGGGATCGCCAGGGTGGGAGAGGACCGTGGTTCCGCGGATGGGATGCGGTTCCTGCAGGCTATGCCTTCAACACCATGGACAGCAGATCCTGTAGCTTTGGGGTCCTGGACCGCGTTGTAAAGTCTTGAACCGTCCTGGATTTCTGCCCAGTACCCTCTAGGGTTAGAGACCGCTGGCGCTAACGAAAAGAAGCAGCCTCTGCTCGGAGTCTAGATCCTTCACTATCGAGTCCCCAGTCAGTGTCCCGGGGGCTGTCTGTGCTGGCAGGTCGTGGGTAGTTTCCTTGATTTGGGGTTGGGTATAAGCAAAGGTGGGCATACACAAGTTGTGTAAGTGGGGATTCTCCAGCGTCAGTTGCGAGTGACAGCTGCAAGGGGACGGATTGTGAAGAGGAAGAGGAGAGGTGTCCTGGCTCTCTGAGGATTTTCCAGGAGTGGCATAAGATCTCTGGAGATCGCCTCCTTCCCAGCGGAGTGTCTTCAGGACTCTGGTAGGGCTGGAGAAGGTTGGAAAGGAAGGAGGCTGAATCTGTACCCTGGGTCACCTAGCTTCTGCTAGAGGGCAGGTTGGCCCAAGGAGGAAAAAATAGGGGGGCAGAGGCCTGCCTGCTTCTGTACGGTTCCTCCAGTCTGCACCAGGAACAAAGGCCCGCTGGGGAAGCCTGGAGTGGCGTTTTGGGAAAGCGCCGATTCCTAGTCCTAAAGGACCTGATCAGGGTAGCCACCCTTCAGTAGGCTGCAAGGAGTAGATCCCGATTGCAGTCAGCTGTGAAGTGTGGACCGTGCTCCCATCCCTGTAGGCAAGGACCAGATACCCATCTAGGAAAGAGTGAAAAGGGGGAGCAGTCTCTGGTGGGGGTTGGGGGAGACATCTAACTCTCTCCTCCATATAAGGCCCGTCAGCAGGAGGCTGGGACCCTTTTCTTTCCCCCAGGAGAGAGGGTCGCAGGAGCCACTGTGTTGAGTGGTTGGGTTGTTCTGGAAGGACCCGTTGCTGGTGTGAGGCAGGCATAGTGTGTTCGCTGCACAGCGGGGTGTGACTGGTGGGTGTCGAGGAGCTGCGGTGGGCTGCGGGAGAATCTTTTGCGTGGGTGGTGCCACAGGACAGTAGGAGCGGTTCAAGAGTATCAGAGAGGCGATTTCTCCGCATACGTGTGACCGCGGGGCGCCGGGCACAATCGAAGGCGTTCGAGGGCTGCGTCCGTGTGAGTCGAGGAGCGCGCGGAGCGGGACGCCGAGCGTGTGCGCGGGAGGCACCAGTCGCGCGGTGCGTGAGTGCGCGAGTACGCGGTGCGCGTGCCCCTCAGTTCTCAAGGACACCTCCGGGAGGAGGCGGCGGAGCCGGTGTCCGGGTGACGTCACCGCGCGCCCCAGTGATAATCGCCCGGTGCCGGAGCAGAGCGCGGATACGAGCGGAGGCAGCGGCGGCGGCGAGCGCGGGGACAGTGGCACTCGGGTTGGGCCAGGAGAGTGGGAGTCGGACTCCCGCAGTGCCGACCTCGTGGACGCTGGGCTCTCAGCCGGTCCTCGAGAATTTGCCTGGCTTCCTTGGCTATGTCCCTGTGCTCTTCTCCACCCGGGACCGTGGCGTGCAGGTCCTGCGGGCACCAAGGAGGAGGCGGAGGCGGGAGCGGAGCGGAGGCGGCGGCAGCCGAGGAGCAGCAGGCGGCGGCGGCTCGCGCCCAGACGGGTAACTGCACTGGCGGCCCCGGCCCGAGCGAGCCGGCGAGCGGTCTCTCAGGTCACCCCGTCTTTCTCTCCTCGAGCAGCTTCTCGCCGGTCTGAGGAGCAAGAGAAGAGAGCTCAGCGGGTTGTAAAAAAGAGACTGCTTTTCATCTCCGAACATCGAGGTTCTTTATTTCCACCGCATTCACGCGCTCCTGGTGGGGCCGGGAAGATGAGCCGGGGAAGGGCAACTGCAGAGAGGCTTGTGCCGCCGGGGTGGAGCGGGCTCTGCACCCCTCAGAAGACCGCGGCAAGCCGGAGCACGCGCGCGCTCACCCCGGCAGGCTCCTGCGTCTCTCTCGCCACGGTTCCGAGGGGTCTCTGCTGCAGGGACGCCCCGAGGGATTTGCCTAGGCCCTTCTCTACCTCGGGGAGGGGAAGGAGAGCGGGCTCCTCGGAGTTGGGGGCGGACTAGGGCTGCATTGCCAGCTTAGCGCGGAGCCCCGCCCCGCCCGCCCCGCCGCGAAGAAGCTGGAGCGTTCGCGCCCCTCAGGCTAGGACCCCACGCAAGCCGCAGCCCCGGCCCCGACCCGGC